GGAGGAGGAAGAGGAGAAGGAGAGGAAGGAGGAAGACGAGGTGATGGAGAAGGTGGAGGAGGAAGAGAAGGAGGAGGAAGAAGAGGTGAAGAAGCAGGTGGAAGTGGGGAAGGAGGAGAAGAAGGAAGAAGAGGAGGAGAAGGAGGAAGAGAAGGACAAGAAGGATGAAGAAGAGGTGAAGGAGAAGAAGGAGGAAATGGAGAAGGAGGAAGAAGAAGAAGAGCAGGAGGAGGAGGAAGGGCATTGTCAGGGCAAGCTGGAGCTCCAGGACCAGGCAGAAAACCCACCAGGAGCCCCGGGAGAGCAGCGGAAACCCCAGGAGCTGCTCCCTGCGGCCCCGGGCGCGGGCTCGGCCGTGCCAGAGGTGAATCCGTGCCGGAGCGGAGCGGGGAGCTGCGGGCAGGCGGCGCGGGAGCTCCGGGAGAGCACCGGGGAGCTGCTGGCGCAGCTGGCGCGGCTGGGCCGGGAGCGGCAGCGGCTGCGCCGGGAGCTGCGCGGGCTGCGGCGGCGGGACGGCGGTGCACGAGCTGCTCCGCAGGCTGGACGGGCTGCTGAGGAGCCAGCACGAGGCCCTGCAGCTCGTGGCGCAGATGGACGGCGAGGAGGAGGCCGGGGCCGCGGCCGGCGGCGGCCGGGAGCTGCCGGAGCCCGAGGCTGCGCAGCGGGAACGGGAGCTGCGGGAGCTGCGGGCGCTGGAGCGGCGCGTGYGGGAGCTGGACAGGGCCTGCCAGGACAAGGAGGGCACGGTGAGCGTGGGTCCTCCCAGTGCCGCCTGGCACCTCCCGGCTCCTTCCCCTTCCCATCACCTTCCCCTTCCCATCACCTTCCCCTTCCCATCACCTTCCCCTTGTCTACCCCTTATCATCATCATCATCATCACCTTCCCCTTCCCATCACCTTCCCTTTCCATCACCTTCCCCTTGTCTACCCCTTATCATCGTCATCATCATCACCATCCCCTTCCCGCCATCTTCCCCTTCCCATCACTAGTCCCTTCCCATCCTCATCCTCTTTCCATCCCCATCCTCTTTCCATCCCCATCCTCATCCCTCTCTCATCACCATACCCTTCCCACTCCCGTTGCTGTTCCCTTCCCAACACTACTCCCTTCCCAGCCTCACCTCCTTCCACCCTCATCCCTTTCCTATCTACATTCCCTGCCCATCCCTGGCCCCTCCTGGGAAAACCGGCCCTGTCTTTGGAAACCACCAGGATGGGTGAGAACATCCTTGCCCATGGATCCCAAAGTGCCCGTTTCTCAGCCCACCCTGGGGACACCGGCAGGGCTGGGACAACAGGGACCGGGTGCTGGAAGCGGGGGAGGATCCGGCCCCATTTTTCCYCCGCCAGCTCCTGATTTCTCCCGGGCAGATCAAGAGGCTCCTGGCGCAGACGGAGCAGCTCTCGGCGGAGGTGCTGGCGCTGCGGGGCGAGCGCACCCAGCTGCGCCTGCGCCTGCAGGTGGGTGCCGGCGGCCCCTCCGGCATCGCTCCGGTGTCCCCTGCTCCAGTATATCGCTCCGATGTGCCCCCCATGGCATCGCTCCGGTGTCCCCTGCTCCAGCACCGCCCGTCTCCACTTCCCAATTCCTTTTTCCGGGGCAGGTGCAGCACAAAACCCACCGCGACGTCGTTGCCGTCTACCGGACCCACCTGCTCCAGGCGGCGCAGGTAGGAGCYGGAGCGCGACACCCGGATTTGGGGCAAAACGATGCAAAAAGAAGAGGTTCTATACATATATGCATCCATATCCATATGTGTATTTTGGCAGGGCTTCATGGACGAGGCGGTGCACGCCAGGCTGCTGCAGATCCTGCGCGCGGGGCAGGCGTGACGCGCCGCACGGCCGCCCCGCGTCCCTCCCCGGCGATTAAACGGGAGAAGCGCCCCGTGTGCTGCCTTCCTGCGGGGAGCCGCGGGCCCGCTGGCCCCGGGACTAGTTAGGGGTGCCAGTCAGTCCCCGCCCCGGGAGGGGGGTAGTTAGTGGCAGCAGTGCCTGCCCAGCCGGAACTAGTTGGGGGGATCCATGACGCCCTGTTCGCAGGACTAGTTATGGGGCCGATCGCCCCCCCCCGCAGCTCAGGACTAGTTAACGGGGCGCTCAGCGCACCGCGATGCGGGGCCGCGGAGTGCGGAGCTGCGCGACGCCCCCTGCCCGCCCTGCCCCGCCCCC